TGGCAAAATTGGTTAACTACTTGTAGAAAACTAAAGCTAGATCCTTATATATCACCCTGCACCAGAATCAACTCCAAATGGATCAAAGATCTCAGCGTCAAAGCAGATACTCTGAAAACATTACAGGATGGAAAAGGAGAAACCCTAGGACGCCTTGGCACAGGCCAAAATTTTCTTAATAGAGACCCAGAAAACACAACAAATCAAAGAAAGGTTTCACAGATGTGAAAGGCTTCTGTGAACACTCTACCACCTCAGGTAGCTACTCTCCGGAACTCTCATCCACTCTGTCCTTTGGCCTCTAATCACATCATGGTGTCCAACTGTGGTTGTTCAGTGTTGCAGAATGACCAGTTCTAGATGTCAAGTCTGGCTTTGTCCCTCACTCCTTTAGTACACATTGGTATCTATCTACCCCTTCTCTATGGAAGTTCTGCTCCTCAGACCTAGCAGGAATTCTAGTTCCTTCCAAAAGGTCTTTTATCTGTGACTCCTTGACCAGTCTCCAATCTGAAGCCTACTCAGATCTCTCCTCTTCTCATATCATCTTGAACCATTCTGTTCCAACCCAAGGTCCCCTTTAGGTGAGCACGGTCAGCTGTGGGAGAGCTGAGCAGCCCTGTCTGAGCTGGGCGCCTTGGCTGTGGCCTGAGCCTTGCCTCACAGCTCCCACTGCAGAGGCAGGAGGAAGGCTTGCTAGGAGTCTCCAGTGTCCTCTGGGTGGGAATCCAGCAGCGTGCATGAAGGAAAAGTCATCCAGAAAGCACCAGACCCAGCCTCTCAGTGGAGCGGAGAAGATGCAGATTTATTATGGGAAGGGTGAACTTGGCTATCTGTCCCTGAAACCCTGCCATTGTGGTTACAGGGACAGTGGCCAGGCTGTGGGTGCAAAGTGAGACTGCAGGATGTAAGCCTGGTCCACTGTACTACCTTGGGGGAAATGGCTGCTTTTTTCAGGACTCAATTTCTCTGTTTGAAGAGTGGGCTAATAACAGGACCTCCACTGGGAGAAGGTGGCTCTAAATGATGTATGTGGGGGGGGGATGGATGGGGGGGGCACCATGCAGATACAAAGAAAGTTCCCATGAGCCAGAAGGGTAAGTGGGAAGGAGCTGGCCCAGGGTCTGTTTGGAATGGGAGCTGTGATTTCAGTGCAGGGTTTTGCTAGGCTTAGTGAGGAAGCGCAATCATCTTGGGGTCAGGGCCAGGGATTGTGGTGGAAATGAGGGGTAGTGAGGACAAGGTCATGTCCTCCAGGGCGGTCTACCTCCTGTGTTCCTCTTTATCCCTGGAGGATCTACTGTTGTTCACCACCCCCAGCCCCATCCTCTGGGCAGAGTTGAAGCCTTACACTGGAAGCCACCGTCACTGTCCCTAACTCAGAAATATATGTGGTTGAGACTCAGGAGTCTGGAATCCTCTCTGATGTGGTCTGGGGTGGGAGCAAAGCCCAGTGGCCAGGCCTGATGTAAAAAAGTAGAGGAGGCCAAAGGGGCCTTGACAGTCATCACCAACATGTCCCCTTACCACCGGCCACCGCCTGAGACCTGCCCTGTAAGATTTGTCATGGGGAAGTTCAGTGTTTCTGCAAAGAATAATGATGAAGGCAGGCAAGCAGATTTGTCAGTGTGAGTTTGCTCCCCCCTAGGTCCACTGTCTTCTTCAATGAAAGCCACAGATGAGGTCAAGCTGTTAAAACATGTTAGATATTCAAATGGCTGTCATTTCTTGTCATTTCTGTATGTGACAGGGATCCAGCATTCAAATGGCAGGGGGTGAGGGTGCAGGGGTATTGTAAGTCACCGGCACGTTGGAGGGGGCTGTTAGCTGGTGGCTGATGATCTTTTTCTGGGATTGGCACTCAGGGCCTTTCTGGGTATAGGAGAGAAGGAAGCTGGGGAGCAGAGTCACCACTTTCCTGAGAGGTGGGGTGCTGATCTTTGGAGAACAGAGAAAATGGAGGCAGGTACGAAGTACTGGCCTAGGGAACTTGAGGACTGAGTTGGAAGCCTCTGCCTTTCATGAAGGGCAACTTCCTCAAAGGAAATGCCTTTCTTTCATGTCGGTTTCTGACCTCAGATAGTGGCCAAGTGCTGCTGAGAAGACACGCCACATACAAGGCTGTGCACCGGGAAGGCTGTGTTCATCACAGCTCAAGCACTGCCCTTAGTGACACAGCGCACACCCATTCTGCTCTGGGGCTGGCTGTGGCAGGGCTAATGGCATCCTGACCCAGTATAGGATCTCCAAGCCCATAGCTCATTTCTCCACTGAAGATGAGCCAGAGATAGGGAACACTGGGGAAAACTAGGGCAAAGTTGGTAGCTATAGTTCCTATGGAGGGGAAGGCACGTGAGGGTGGCCTCTGAGTCATGCAGATACGAGGAGTCCCATGGAGAACAGTGGCTGTGGAATGAGTGCCCTTCAACCTGGAGCCATCCGGAGGAGGGACATGACAGGGGACAGTGGGGGGGGGGGATCCTGTCCTGTCTGCACAAAGATCCTCGAAGGCACTGTCTTTTTGTACTTTGTTCTCCCTTCGTTCCTTCCTTTGTTCCTTCGTTCCTTCATTCCTACCTTCCTTCCTTCCTTCCTTCGTTTGTTCCTTCCTTCCTTCTTCATCCCTTCTTCTCTCCCTTCCTCCCTCCCTTCCTCTCTTTCTGTCTACTGGTACTGAGGCTTGAACTCAGGGCCTAAGCACTGTCCCTTAGCTCTTTCTCTCAAGGCTGGCAGTCTACCATTTGAGCCACAGCTCCACTTCCAGCTTTATTTTGCTGGTTAATTGGAGATAAGAGTCTCATGGACTTTTCTGTACTGGCTGGCTTCAAATAATGATCCTCAGATGTCAGCCTCCTGAGTAGCTAGGATTACAGGTTTGAGTCACCTGTGCCTGGCTCCTTTGGTGCTTTTCAAACACTGAAGAATAGTGACATTTCCCCACAGTACAGTTTGCTGCTGGCATTGGACCAAGGACTGCCTTTTTCTTAGAGCATCTACTTTAGAAACTTGCATTGGGAAAGTCTGTCCCCTCGAGAGGTAAACCTCCCAGCTTCTTGACATGTTTCTAGAACTGTCCAGCCTTTCTCATGGCCCTGAGAGCTGGGCCTATAAATCTAATCAAGACTGGTGCACTCCTATCAGTTTGGGTGGGAGGGGAGGAGCCTAGTTTTGAACACAAATCCATAAACACAAATGCCTGACACATGAACTCGCCTTCCCTCTAACATCTATCAGTACTTTTCCACTAGCTCATTCTAGTGCCTGTGGCTTTGGGGTGTCAAGATCTCAGTGAACTGGACCAAAGCCTTCAACTGCTGTTCTTCCACAACAACACGCACCTGCAAGGATCGCTTCTTCTTTCCCCACCTCCGCTCCATCCACTCCAGCACACGGGTGAGATCAGACATCCGCCTCTCCTCCGCCGTCCTCCACATAGACTTCCTCTCCGTGGGCATCATGCTCTTGATGTCCACTGGGGCCTGGGACGTGAAGTCTCTGCTAAGCCTTGGAACTTTCTCCTGCGCTTTTGCTCCCTGCATCTCGTCTTGATGTTGTGACTGTGTTGGAAGGTAGCACCCAGCCTTGAAATGGGACCCTAAGAGGTAGAATTGGGTGAGCTGCTGGAATATTGCCTTGGGAAGTGATTGTGAGGTCACTGTTGGCCTTGGCAGGTGGCCCTTGGGGACGTAGAGGAGAAAGGATGCTAGCCGCCTCCTTACTTTGTCCCAGTGGCCCCTGGCCCTCCTCATTTCACTTCTATTAAACAAAACCAAATTGGGTTGAGACAAAGGCTAGTTTAGGTGTTTCCTTTTCTCAAAAATCTTCATGGACCCTGTTGTGTAATCTAAATTCCTTAGATTGGCATTGCAGTGTACTGTAAATAGAACGACACCTTTTTGGTGAGTTCTTTTCCTCTCTGTCCATTTATCCATTAAAGTGGATAATTAGCAGACACCTCCTGTGTGCGGGGGTTTGGTGCTTAGGGTACAAAGCAGGGGAAAGCCTAGTCACACCTCCTAAATTTGGTGAGTCAATGGGGGCAGATCAAGGCTTGCTTTGATCCTAAGCAGGCTCACCAGGGCTACTGTTACCTGAATGTTTTGTGCCCCAAATTCAAATTCCTATGTTGGAACTTTAACCCCTGAGGTAATAGGCTTTCCTTTGGGAAGCCGACATGGGACAGTGCTCCTCTAAAAAGAGATGGCTGAAGGCAATCCCAACTCTTCTCTCGTGTGAAGGAGATGCCATCAGTGAACCTGGAAGCAGCCCTCACTTGACACTGAATTAGCTGGAACTTCCCAGACTCCAGAACTAGGTGAAACAAATGTTTGTTGTTTAAAGTTGCTCTGTCTATGGCGTTTTCTAATCATAGCTGTACGAGAGAGCTATGGAGCAGAGGAATGTCCATGTGTATGGTCCATGTGGCAGAGTAGGGGACATGACCTACCTGAATAACTGAAGACGAGGGTGGCTGGAATAGCAGGTGGGATAAAATGATGCTAGGTAGGGACAAGGCAGAGGCCAGACAATACTGGACTTTGGTGGGCATAGAGTCATCTCAGAATGGAAGAAAAGGATAGAAGAAACCATAAGGCATTTGGATGAAAGAGGAGGGAAGGATTGTGGGAGAGAGAGAGAATGGAGGAAGAAAGGGGAACTATGCTTGTGTGTGTGTGTGTGTGTGTGTGTGTGTGTACGTGCACATCAGTAATGGGAATTAAACATAAGACCTCTGTGTTTTTGCTCTACCACTTGAGCCATGCCTCCAGTTTTAGCTTTTTGCTGGTTAGTTGGAGACAAGGATCTCTAAGATTCATGTGCCCTGGCTGCTTTTGAACCTTTATCCTCAGATCTCAGCCTCCTGACTGGCTAGGACTATAGGCGTGAACCACTGGCCAGACACTTAACTAGAGTCCCAGAATCCCCTCCCTTATCCCTGATAGTGACCACTCCATTTAAGAGAAAACATCATCACAACTTCTAATGTCAGATTTACAGATTTTTGAGTTTTATTCAAATGGAATCACGCACAGGTAGCCTTCATATTCAGATGATTTGGGCAGTGCACTGCTTTGTCATATATTCCTTGCTGGGGCAGAGCCTTGGCTAAGGTATCCAGCATGCTGGAGGAGCCACTGCCCCGTTGCCTACCTTCCACCTTTGGGTGCAGAAAGTCGGCTGCTCACTGTTATTGGTTGCTGTGCTTGGCTGGGAGTCTCTTTCCTCTCACTGACTTCTGCTTTGTCTTTATCTTTGTCTCTGATATGTCTAGGTGTCGATATGAATATTTGTCCCGCTGTAGGTTTGTTGAACTTGGAAGTGTGCTTCTATTCATTTTGGTTGCTGTGATAAATACTTAGGAGGAATAATTTAAAGGAGGATTTGTTTTGGCTCAGAACTTTCAGTTCATAATCCTTTTGCTGGTTAACTGGAGATAAGAGTCCCACAGTTCTGCCTGGGCTGGCTTCAAACTGTGATCCTCAGGTCTCAGCCTCCTGAATAGCTGGGGTGACAGATGTGAGGAACCAAAGCCTACAAAGTAATTTCACCTTGGTTACTATGGAAACAGAACACCTCACATGTCCTTCGGGGAGTGGTACAATCCCCACTGAAAAACAAGCTATCATCCATACTCTCAAGACTTCCTTCATGCAGTTCCGTGTGGGAGATTGCTGTGGCAGAAAGTTTGGCTCCTCATATCCTGGTAAAGGTTGCTAGTGCGGGGCTGGGAATGTGGCTTAGTGGTAGAGTGTTGCCTAGCATGCACGAAGCCTGGGTTCAATTCCTCAGTACCACATAAACAGAAAAAGCCAGAAATGGTGCTGTGGCTCAAGTGGTAGCATACTAGCCTTGGGCAAAGGAAACTCAGAGATAATGTCCAGGCCCTGAGTACAAGTCCCAGGACTGGCAACAAAAAGTTGCTAATGCTTCTATCCCAGAAAATCAAGTCACATTTTTTTCTTTCCCTTTTTCTCCTTCATTGAGGGTCCATTTTGTTTAGTTGCACAGAGAAGATGTGGAAATGGAAGTCCCTCTTACACAGATTCCTGCTGATCATTTGGACAAACTAGCTACCCCTGATGCCTGATTTTCTCAAGGCATGGGATGAAATGTGGCATGATGTCTTTTATTTTTTATTTATTTATTTTTAAAGTTTTATTGTTATTGTGAAAGTGACAAACAGAGGGGGCACAGTTATATAAGTCAGGTAATGTGTACATTTCCTTTTGAACAGTGTCACCTCTTTTCTCCCAGTTTTTCCCTTCCAACTTCCATTCTCCACAGTTGTATAGTTCATTTTCAACCTAGTGTCTAGCGAGTATCACTGTCTTACCATCTCTTCTATCTGTAGCAGCCCAGAGTACAGAAGGAGTACAGAGTTTAAGGAGATTGTGTGTGTGTGTGTGTGTGTGTGTGTGTGT